TCTTTTAAGCCTGATCGACGCAACTATTAATGTTGAAATAACCATCGATAATGTACAGACTGAACGTCCATTACAAATTCAATTTCCGGTTCATAATCAAGTACCAACCGCACATCTTAACGAAGAAGGATTACAATATTCTGTTATATGTACAGGACAAGAAACAAAAGCTGTCTCGTACGTTTCGCTTAGTTTCAGATACTTGTTCTCAACATAGCTGTTGGATAATTGCTTAGTTCTACAATGCTACTTGATCCAACTATAGAATGTCGTCGAACAAGTGATATGAATATGAGTCTAGAAATGCCGGGTTTACACGTGACGCGTACGTTAAACTACTTTCTAATACAATATGTAATTTAAATTCTTTCTTTTTTCTTTTTAGCTGAAGCAAGTGATGATGAGGCATCAGATCTCAATACGTCGAACACATTGCATCTTATGGTAGAAGCTGTTAATATAATTCACAGTGAAAAAGAAATGGTAAAAAGTCGTGATAAATAGTGCTATGCCATATTCAAACTGTCCTGTTAGGATTCTTAAATCAAACGTTGAAATCCTGCTGTTTTTCTATTAAATGTCTTTTGATTTTTCGAATCGAAAAACGTAACACAATAAATATTAACTTGCACACGTATCTCTTTTCATCTATATTCAGACAAATTCATCGAACATTGAAGAAACGGCACGCTCGAAATCAGTGACCACCTCTCATGAAGTTGAGTATTGTATCGGAAAACAAGAAAATGATAGAGATTTGAACAGAATTGAGGTATACTGACACAAGTAGAAAGTATAGTACAGCAATAGTTGTATGAACGTGCCATGAATCTTTAGATGAGTCCACCAAATAATGATTCCAATAGTATTGGTCATTCATACAATGCACCTTATCTTAATGTTTATAATGTAAGTGTTTTTCGCAATACTGATCATCTAGGAATGTTATCACAACATGTAGATAATCCTGCGATATTTAGGCCAATTTTCATTGGAATGAAGAGGGACAACCTTATTCTGCAACTGAAGAACAAACTGTATGTAGTCCGTACAATTTATTAGAACCTGATGAGTGGAAACTATACCCGTACATCAGCAATAGTACAATAATGAATGACGAATACTTCGTAAGTGTTATACGAAACTGAAAAGCAGTATGACCCAGTATCTTTCTAGGATAATGAAATTGATAAGCAATCAAACACTGATCATCATTCTGTCGATAATAACAAAAATGCATCGCATAAAGTAAGAACTGCCAATTACAGAACTTTGTTTAAAAACTCCACGATGTTACATGTTTCTTTGAATGCATTTTGTGTTACAATTCTGACTGTAAAGTTATATCGTCATTTGTAATATTGCTGCCTAATACGAATTACTGTTTATTACTATTTGAGGACATAGGATCAAAGAACACATGTGTACATATGAAAGTCGAGGATAATTTAACATCATTGCCGACAGAACATCGATCTCTAATTGATTTACTCCTTCAGCGCCCTTCAGTAGGAGATAAAATAATGTCAGAAGTTCCCAAACAACCGGTAATATTACGTGTCACAGATACGGATTTCGATAAATTCAAGCAACAACTTGCTGAATCTAAAAATAAACACAATATTAAACAATCGTCTTCACCTGGTTCAAGTTCGTATCATAATACTCGTAAAACAGAATGGATTAATATAATTGAAAACTACATTAATCAAACAAATGATGGTTGTGTTTTTATGTACTCTCGACATCATTGGTCAACGGCCAAAACAATCAGCAGAAATTCAGAGAAAAAACAATTTTTATTGAGTGCAGATGCCACTTGCAAATTTAGCACTTGCAAATGCTCGTTTCACGCAATTCTTTATGACGATGCAACATTACATATCAAGTACTCCGGTTATATCTCTCATAGTCCTTCGGAACATCGAGCGCGTCCTATAAGAGGTTCGCGGAGAGAAAGCATAGCTGAACAATTATCTTCCGGTTTAAAACCTGATCAATTACGTTTAAAACAATTGGGTAGATTATCGAATGATAATCGACTATATGGCAATCGAAACATAGTGGGATCCAGTCCTCATGTATTTCGTAAAATTAGAAGTGAAACTAAATCGGCGTTGATGTTGGATCCAGATCTTGGTACTAGTTTAGTTAAAATACAAAATGAACAACAAAAAGAAATCCGTCCAGAACAACCACTTCCAGGCTATCTACAAGACATATCAATTCTTCCACTTAGATTGGTCTGTTTTACATATGGAGGTTTGAAGCTTTGGGAAACGGTTGCAAGTACCGTTCCTGTTTCCTGGGACGCTACGGGTGGAGTGGTGATGAACAGAGGAAAGAAAGTATTTTATTATGAACTGACGATTAGTAGTATTAGTGCATCTGGTGTGAGTAAGAAAAGTCGCTCTGGTCCGTCATTTCCAGTGACATCAATGCTATCTACATCACATACAACAATGGATTTAGTTCATTGGATTAATACATTTGAAGCTGCATGGTACAAAATACACGGGTACGGAAAAACTTTCCCAAAGCCACCAGTTATTCATTGTGATGGGGCTTATGTATTCCAATTAGCCGCTATACGAATTTTTACTAAAGATGAAAATATGGCAGAATACTTGCAACGATGTTGGCGTATTGTCAATTCAACAGCCAACACAAATGATCTTTAAAAAACTATTGTTCATTCATGTCTGGCACACTTTATAAAAAGCGTAAAAAAACAAGCACGGAAAGATTTTGAAAAGAAGAAAGTAAGATTAAAAGATAATTTATAATGTTATAATGTGTGCGACATTTCTGCCTATTTTACAAACTAAGTAACAGACATTCGTTAACAAATTTTTTAGGTACCATTTTCCTTGTGGCTTATGGCATTACTTATCAACGCTAACACGTTGCATGAGATGGGTAGTCTCTTCGAACATATTTGTACTGTATTACTATGTCCTACACAAAATCCATCTTATTCTTTATCGATTTCTATATTATCGAAAGCAGCCGATCAAATGAATAAAGATCCAGACAAACAAAATTTTATCTTTGACAGTGTTACAGTTCATAAAAATGGTGTATGCGAAAGCAATATAGAAACATCCAAGGTAGACGTTCAATATTCAGTACTGTATTTTTTTCTAAACTACCGATGTCGACACTCTAGGCATATAATGCAGCAGGAGGTGAGGAAGAAGATGATTTTGATGATGAAGCATTAGTTACTGAAGAGGAGACAGTTACAATGGGAAATAGTCCGTTCAAAGCTTACTTTCAAGCAATACATGAAGATAGTGTTATGAAAACTGAACAGTTCAATAACGAAATTTATAATATATATCCAGTTAATCCATATTATTCTCCATCATTTCTGAATAAAATTAATGAATTGTATTTAACTACAGCTCCATTATGGAGCAATTTGACACTCGGACACCTGTCTCGTTTCGGATATAAAACATCTGATCCAATTGTTCACTGCGGCTGCCATAGCAGTCGCACCACTGGTATGTCTGAATCCCGAATG